AGGCCAGAGAAACCTGGAGGCAGGACAGAGGAACCAGGGTGCTATTCTGCAAGATCTCCAGCACCAAGTCGGTGTCCTAGCGCGCCAGCTTACTGGTCGGGCCCCGGGGACTCTACCTGCCACCACCATCCCCAATCCACGGGACCCGCACGAGCAGCTGGATGCCATTTTCACCAGGAGCGACAGGCCTACATCAGCTGATCCTGCCCCGACCAGGCAGGAGGAACCACTACCTGCTTCAGCACTTCCAGCCGGTGATGCAGAAGTGCGGGTGGAGAAGGAAGCCCTTGCTCCCAAGCCACAACCAGTGGTGAAGGAGCATGTGCCCCAGCTTCCCTTCCCCACTCGCCTCCATAAAGATAAGTTGGAGACCAAGTTTGCCAATTTTATGGCAATGTTGAAGCAGCTCAACATCAGCGTACCATTTGTGGAGGCACTGTCGAAGATGCCCAAGTACGCGAAGTTCATGAAATATATCCTCACCAACAAGAAGAAACTTGGGGATCTCTCGACAGTGCTGCTGAGCGAGGAATGTTCTGCTATCCTACAGAACAAGCTGCCCAAAAAGCGCAAAGACCCAGGGAGTTTTACTATCTCTCTTACTATTGGCAGCATGCATGTAGGAAAGTCCTTGGCGGACCTAGGCGCTAGCATTAATGTCATGCCATATAAACTGTTCAAAAAGCTAGACCTAGGTGAACTTAGCCCTACTAGGATGAGCATTCAGCTAGCTGATCGTTCCGTTGTGCATCCTAGAGGTATCATAGAGGATCTGCTTGTTGATGTTGGTGCATTCACATATCCTGTTGATTTTGTTATCCTGGACATAAATGATGATGTGGATGTGCCTTTGATTCTGGGTAGACCATTTCTTGCCACCGCCAAGGCATTGATTGATGTGCATGATGGTAAACTGATTCTGCGTGCTGGAAATGAACAGGCTACTTTTTCTGTGACTGAGTTTGATCACTGTGCTATGATTGCTGTCACACCTGTGCATGCTATTTCTGACCAGGTACACGAGCCTGTCGTGTATCCTTCTGCACCTCCCATTTTGCAGGACCCCCCTCTCACTCCTTCGCCGCCGCTCCTTCCAGCCTCACCACCGAACAAAAAGCTCAAGGAGGAGTGGCGGCCGAAGCAGCAGGTTGCTAAGCCTGCACGGAAGAAGGGTGGAGACCACTACGAGCTGGTCCCACCCACTGCACCACGACCACCCTGGCCATCCGAGTACTCACTCGCCTGCATCTTGCCGGATGGCCAGGTCGAGCTGACCAATGCCGGTGGTTGTACTCGTCGGGTGCATGGCCATCACCTGAAGCTGTACCTCAAGAGCGACGTGGATCCGCTCTTGGAGGCACCTGTTCCTGCACCTCCTTGAGTATCCGCCATGGGCGTCCAACTAAAAGACGGTAAAGAAGCGCTTGTGGGGAGGCAACCCCGCCATGGTTTTCATTTATTTGTTTTGTTTCGAGTCGGATTGCGATTTGGTTTGGTTTCAGTTTATTTCCTTTGTTTTGGATGATGTCTTATTGGGCTGACATTGGACCTAACATATTATGGTTGAGCTCTTCTGTTTCCCTTTAGCTGTGCTGTGTTCCCGACTGATCCATTTCCAGTCTCCTGCAGTCCGTGCATACCGGTAACATCGTTCCCCTTTCCTTCCCTCTTCTCCATTAAGGGCAATGTCGATCTTAAGTGTGGGGGGGTGTTTATCTTTTGACTGCATTAGATCTGTTTGTGTGCTTGGAGCCTAGTCCACTGTCCAAAATTTTAAATTTGAGGGCTCCAAGTACGTGTTCCTTGCAATTGCCTGCTCAGTATGCTTTGAATTGACAGTCTCTGTAGTGATTTGCAACCTAGGGAGGTAGTGTATCACTATGGAGGATGTTGATGCATTTAAGAAGTCTCATTTCTTCTTCATATTGTGTTGGTTGATTGAGTGAATTAGTGATCTTAGGACCCTTGAATTGTGTGGTGTTGTGGACTCTCTGCCTGTCATGGACTCTTGTATCATGTTTTGAAAATAACAGGTGCTCGAAATGTGCTTTAAAATAACGTCTCCCGTGCGAATAGGGCGAAAGTGTGTAAGGGGAGACGGGAATCCGTTCCCAATTTCCACCTACTACCTCCAGCCCCCTTACATGTCTTTCCCCCGCACGAGGCTCGAGACACCCGCTCCTGGCATGGCCGGTAAGAGCCGGGCTCCCGCAGAACCTTTGCTAGGTGGGAGCCCCCGTTTTCTGCAGAGACAGGTTGGAACCCGTGGAAAAAAAACAAAAACAGAAAAACAAGCAAAAAGAAGAAAGAAAAGGGTTCCAACCATGTTCAAAAAGAAAATCGAGCACCTTGAATTAATGTGAGTCCATGATCTTTTGTTTTTGAGAGTCCCTTCATCCACGATTCATTTGTCCTCTGTTCACTATTTGCCATGAGACCGACTCGAGACTAGTGCTCTCGCCGAAGAAGCTATGAGATGACTGGGATGTGGTGCTCGGGCTAAGACGAATTCGACCATCAACTTCCCCACGTGTGACCTTAAAAGGGAAGGCTATGATTCATCCACTCTTGGCCATGAGGGAGAGATGCTATTATTGATAGACCGATAATTATACATGTTTTCACCCCTATTCTGAAGCCGTTTGTGATGAGGAATCTCGTGTTTTAAGCCGATTTCACGCTAGGGTACGTGTTTATGTCATATTCAGGTCCCGGCGTTGGAATCGAGGCGGAGGAACGAGTTCTGGGTCGAAAGGAGTGAAGTTGGGACAAATTAAGCCGTAGGAGGAAAATACCCGGTCAGGTGGCCGAATACCCGACCGGGTATTCACCGCCTGAGGAGCAGAGAGGGGCCCGGGCAGAATGCCAAAATCCCCGGTCGGGGATTATTGAAAGCGACCGAGGATTTTCCCTGAAGACGAAACGGTGCGCTGCGATAATACCCGGTTGAAACCCAAAATACCCGACCGGGTATTTCGACCGGGTATCGCGACCAGGCAGTCAGTTTAAGGAGAAAGAAGGCCAACATTGAAGGGTTCCGAGTTTTTGAGAGAGAAAGCGATACCTAGAGAGAGAAAGCGACGAACCAGAGTTCCCAAGCGCCATAGATCGATTTTCATCACCATTGGAGCCCGGCTTGAGCTTGGAGAAGTGCGATTAAACGTCCAGGAGCAGAAATCCATCTTCACAGTATGATGTCCGCGTCTGAATCTGCTTTTGCTTCTTTCTCTATGGAGTAGTTCCCCCATTCATCTGGGTATGGGGAACCCTAGATTTGTATGCTAGGTCTGATTGTATGAACCCAAGTACAGAGTTTGTGAATTGATTATATTCGATTGAGGTTTGAATGATTGAATGACTTGAATCCTGATCCAATTCCTGTTGTTTCTGCTTTGACCTAGAATGAGAATATCTGCCTAGGTTGATAGAGTATCCTTAATCGAAGGTGGCGAATTGGTGACTTTAGTCGAGGAGCCAATTCGCTATTCTGTACCGAATTCAATTCGGTAGTGGAGGTTTGGTTCGCTAGGGCCTCAATCTGTTTACTCCGGTGGAGGTTAGTCGCCCGCTAGAGACTCAGATTGAGAGGGTCTGAAGACCTTTAGTCGAGACTTCGGACTAATCAAGAACCTTCCGCAGTATAACTTTCATGAAAACTGAACTTGGTAAATTGCAATCCGACTTAACTGCAGTCTAGGGGGATCCATATCCGGGTGATCTCTCTTGACTTGACAACAACCGTTTACTTGCTTTGTGTTTTTGTTTGCCCACATGCAAGCCGAGCCTTACATAAATCTAGCCTCTTAGGTCGATCTGATGTCGTTGGGTGGGTTTTCCTAGTCCGCGATAAGAAGGAAAGCAGATCAGAATCCATTTACAAACAAAAAATTAAAGAAACCACATGCATGTTAAAACCATACCAAATTCGGGCTTCCGTTAGGAAATTGATGGTGGACCGAGCTGTTTCTCTTGACCGGCGATGAGAGAAGAGGATTGAGGTAGGATTAAGAGTCATGGTTTCGATTTAGAGAAAAACTAGAGGATTTCGGTTTTTGCAGAGGGAAAAGAGAGTGGCGGCGGGGTTTTATTGAGGTCGTCGTTTTCTTTGTGCAGAGAGAAGAGCAGAGGAAACATGAGAGAAGGATGAAGAGAGAGAGAGAGGGCAACCCTTTTGGTCGATTGAGATTAGAGTTGAGTAGGTTTTATTAGAGATGAATAAATACTTGGCATCGTAAAAAGCCCCTAGGATTTCTTAATATTTTTATGTCCCCGCCACAATGTTTTGGCTCATTTACGAAATTTCCCCCGCTTTGTCCCTGATTTAAAATGAAAATTTATCAAATTTTGAGCCTGGGTCGTTGATTATATACGCGTTTTTCTACTAGCAGTTTAGTCAGTGGGCTAGGCGGCCGTCATTCATTAACTCATCCTATCCACGTAATTTTATCATTGAATATCCTTAATACAAATTTTGAATACAGAAGAGTCCCTAAGTTAGGTTAATTTTGTTTCTTTCCTAATACGTGAAATATTTCTTCATGATTAAAATTCTTATATTTTATCTTCAGAAATCTCGCAATAATTTATTTAAATTTTATTAACAAAATGACTTATATGATAATCACGACTAGTGGAACGTGGGTATAACTAAAACACCAAAATTACTTTTATGAACTACGTTGATTTTGATCCCGTGTTACGAGTATGTAGGCAACCAATAAGGTTCGACTCCAATCTACTATCAAATTTTATCTTTAAAATGAACACTATTGTGTGCATATTTCAAGTCGAAAACTAGTATGATATATTTTCAACTAGAGAAAATGGATATTCTCTTATAGCAGGAACGAAGAGAAGACAACTAATCACAAAATAAACCATCATCTTGATTGAGAATTGGGGAAAAAAAGCCTTTTACTGAAACACCGTGCAAAACAAGTTTACATGAAGTGGGAGAGCGATAGGGACAAAGAATGAGGCACAGGGGAAGGTTTGGATGCTTAAGATGAGTCAGGGGAAGGAGCAGAATCTGGAGCAGGGGAAGGAGAGATGAGAAACCCAAACTTCTTGATGAGCTCGTCAGCAATCATCTGGTTGGCTCTATCCGACGGATGGTATTCATCCCAGAACACGTACTTGCTCCTGTCCTTGCACAGCGTTGACATCGGCGTACACGTTATCGCCGGCCTTATCCTCCCCATGGAACAACACGGCGAGTCTGCGTTGCTGAAGCCTGCAAACACCCACCCACGCCTCAACCGTCAAGAAAGTGAAACACCCCCCAAAAAATGAGATGGTGAAAACCAAATAATATAGTACCGTGTTTTTTGGGACTGGTGATCAAATCATTGACGACATCATAAGCATCCCCGAACTTGAAGCTGGCATTGGCGAGCTGGGCTGACAAACCGGTGACCAGCTGGTCGGTAGCTTTGTTAAAGCTGAGAGCCAGCTTGTTGGTTCGATCTTGGCACCCTCCTGATGAGCTTAGCACCCTTTGGAGTGGGATGCAGCCCATTGGTCCTAATCCGAACACCATCAGCTGCCTCGCCCCCAAACTGTGCAACACCTGTACCAGCAACAGACAAAGATACATTACAGAGAGAGTGTTAGGAATTGTGTCTAGAGTCTTGTACTATTGGCATGTTACAACTATCATTACAATTCACTCAAGATGGTTGGATTTGGTAGCTTGCCTTGAGCTGGGCACCCAGAGTTTCCATGAGGTAGTCGATGAAGGTTTGGTCGTTGTACTTCCAGGAATCGCTGTAAACGGGCATCAAGTAGTTGTTGATGAAGTCATTGCTTCCCAAGGCTACAACGTAGCGACCGTCTTGGAAGAACTTGTCCGCTTCCTCTTTCCCTATCTTGTCTGCAATCAGCTGCTGGGTCCCCTGGAACAGCTCAATCTGCCTGCTCAGTGAAATCCTCTGTATCTGAAGAAAACCACAACCAAACCAGAATTGCCCTGAAATTAAAACAGAGGAAATAGACAGAACAACCATTCATTGTGAATCAAGTTTCACTTACGAAGAGGCCACCGGTTTCGTTCAAGATGCCGCCGCCTCCAGACGCGAAATTCACGCCGTTGCTCAGTATTACATCCTCCGACAAGGACGAATCCAAGAACGGCGGCGGCCGCGGAAGCCCCGAGTGATCCCCTGCATGCCAAAGTAGAGCAAATTGCCATTAACATGAATGAAACGGGTCAGGATTTCACAGATGGGCTAACTAAATTACTGCTCGTTCGTTCGTTCGTACCGATAATGTCAGCAACGGTTCTGCCATTGGTGAATCTGCCGTTGGGGAGGCCATTGCCGAAGTCGATGCCGTACCATGGCAAGCTGGCCTGTGCCAGACTCTTGGGGAGGTTCATGTTGTTGCCAACATCAGAGAGAGAGTCGCCAAATATGAACTGGACAATCTTGCATTGGCAGCCATGGATTGGGAGGAGAACGAGTAACAGTAGGGTAATTAGGAGGGTGGTCTTCATTTCAGGCGTTTGCTCAATCGAACAGTTGGGACTTACTGGGAATATTTTCTTTCTTGTTTTGGGATGTCTCATGGGAGTTGCTCTTGAATTTAAAACCAAAAACGGAACAAGGGAGGCGGTAGAGCTGTTTGATGAACCAACTATGGTTGCCCAGTTCAAACCTACTACAACCACCATCCAGCAACCTGGTCTTCTTCCCTTCCCTTTCCCTTTTGCTCTTGTTTGGCTCCCAACTTAATCTCATGCCGTATTAATCGATTTCCTTTGCTTTTTAAATTAAAGTTGAGCGTTGGGAATTGCTTTTTCTTATGTGTTGGTAAGCGAGAAATATACGCTCGAGTTGGCCCCTTAGCAAGTATTTGTGCACACGCCATTGTTATAGTATAGCATAATAGCACTTATGTCGTTGACAGACTCGAGAAAATGCTGCCCAAAGGTTTCATTTCTTTGTTGTGACTACCGATTACCCATTATTTAGCTACTTCTATTGTTCCAATAATCCTTCTCGGTCTGCCCGGATTTTTTCCCCAATATATTAAAAGTAGGGAGCTCCTAAAATAATTTGGATATAATTCAAGTAATCTAATTTGTATAAATCAAAACCGTTTTTAATATATTAAATATATTCTTAATCATTGATTAAAAAATTGAAAAGAATAGGTACCAAACTCTATCTTACAAAACCGGGGTCGGATACTATGCTAACCCCTAAAGGGGTAGTGGTTTTTGACACCCTCCTCTTGATTGGTCACTTTTCCATTTAAGCTTTTTACTTTATTTATTGTAATCTTGTAAATTGGGAAAGCCTTAATTGTGATAATAATTATGAATGGGGAAGGAGAAAAACGTTGGTAATTATGAATGGGGAAGGATCTGGGGAAAAACGAAATCACCCCCATTAATTACATAATTAATTTCTCTCACTGGTACATTAATTACACGTACCACTCCACTGGTACACGTACCACTCCACTGGTACATGTACCAGTGGAGTGGTACGTGTACCAGTGGAGTGGTACGTGTAACCATATGTCCTGTTTAGGCTTAAAAAATTGTGAAGACTTTATGTTTATTCACATTCGAAGGATAATTTATTGCTTTTGGCACAGTTTTTGGCTACTAATGGAAAGTTCCTATTTTTTCCCTATTATTGTTTATCATTGTTATGAAAAATATCATTGCACTGGTATTGTTCTCACTCTAACCTACCTTGTGGATTGCTCGCACCAGTGGAGTGGTACGTGTACCATTGGAGTGGTACGTGTACCAGTGGAGTGGTACGTGTACCAGTGGAGTGGTACGTGTACCAGTGGAGTGGTACGTGTACCAGTGGAGTGGTACGTGTAATTAATGTACCAGTGAGAGAAATTAATTATGTAATTAATGGGGGTGATTTCGTTTTTCCCCAGATTCTTTCTCTTTTCCAATGTGGTGAGAGACCCCAAATTACAAGATTAAAAAAAATAAAAAATCAGTTTAATTAATACTTGCCAATGATTGGAAATAAAATTGGCCAATCATAAAGGGGGTGTCAAAAATCACTACCCCTTTAGGGGTAGTCACGCTAACTGATCCCTACAAAACCACTACAAAACACAATCTACCACCATTCATCTAACTATCATCTGAGGCAGAATAATTCCAAAATAAAAAAAAAATAAGAAGAACATACTAGTAATTCTACCATTTTCCTTCTTATTTTTTTCCTGACACTCTGACACGAATCATGAGGAGAGAAAATGTACTTTTCCTAATCCCTATTTTTTTAATCGAATCCTACATCATTTGTTTTAACTCAGAAATTCAAAAAAGTGCATAGAAAGAACGTATTAATCATGATTTACACAATGATATCCATTTTGCTATGTTTTGAGGGGGAAAATTAACTTCCCAAAATATGTGTTGATTATAGTGTTATCACTATCATATCAATCATATCATAATGATATGATGACTCATCTCTTTCATTTCAACTCAAAATTTAAATCAAAATATTTAAAAAGAACGTGTTCATTAAGATCTACACAGTGGTATGCATTTTGTTAAGTTTTGTCAATCATAATACCTCATACAAACATCATATTAGTGTCATTTCATGTTACCATAGTGATAATATCATTTTATGCAATGATATGATGTCATCAAATTATTTTGTCAAAGTTAAGACATCATACCAATATCATATCAACAGCATATCAATATTATATCACTATCATATCAACATCATACCATTGATATCAAACTACTTTCAGGTAATAATGTGATATTAAAGTGCTAAGACTCATCTTCTTGAATTCAACTAAGAATTTTAAACATACTCTCTCCAAAGAATGCATTAATTATAGGGTAATGTCTGGTTTTTTTTTTCAAATCTTTTTTAGATTCTTTTATATTATCAAAACCTTTTAAAATACTTTTAATTAGCCAAATCTTTTGTAATGCATCAAAATATTAGTCATTATTATGTTAAAGTTAATAATTTTGTAACCCTTTTCCTAGTTGAAATACTAAAATTTTGGAATGTTAACTTTCATGTGTCTCTTCCAAGTCAGTATAATGTTGCCAAGTCAATATTACTAACAAAATTGTTAACTGAAAGTTAACATTTGTCTACTTCTTAGTATTTCGATAAGTTTGGCAAAGAAAAAAGAATCCAAAAAAGATTTGGATAAAAAATAGACATTACCCTTAATTATATGATACTATGATATGACACTTATATAAGACCTCAAAAATGGTATGATGTCATCAAATTGTTTTGACAAATATAAGACCTCATAAGTCATACCAACATAATATTACTGTCATATTAACATCATATCAACATTATATCACTATCATATCAACATCATACCATTGTGATATGACAGTGGTAAGATGTGTTTAAAAATTTTGGTCCAAAAAATATCAAAATGGATGTCATCTTGTAGAGTACAAAAAATCTGATTTTCAAATGCAAATTTTTTTGAAATCCAATGTAAAAAGATTGAGTTATAGTCTATTGAATTTTCTTGGGGATTAGAAAGTGCTTTAACTACACCTCTAAATCTGCACCCTTCTTCCCCAAAATCTAGGCAGCAGGTAGATAATAGGGATAGCACTCTTTATTTCTCTCCCTACCACTCCTTAATATGGATCATTGAATCTTCCTTTATTAAATTACATTATTTTAATTAGATTGTACCCTAAATCCAGCCCTCAAAAATATATAAAATGTCGCCTATCGTGGCTGCTCGTTCCCTGAATTTTTGTTTTCAAAGTGACCGTCCACTTTGATAGTTTTGTAACACCCTAACCCGATCGAGTACTACTATTATCGAAATGTCCTTGGTAAACCATCAACCAAAAACAAGAACCAAAAAGAGTAGGATAATTAGCAGGAAACTTTATTTAAACATCTATAATAAAAAAAATTGAAATTCAAATAACAATTTCTTAAAACTTGCATAAGTTGTAGTCATAAACATCTTCAATAAATGCGCCACAAGTCTAGAGTCCTATTAAATACACGAGGTTGGAACTTTGGGAGAAAAATTAACGAACTCCCGGTAGTAATTTAAGTATGTGAAAAAGAAGAAAAATGGTAGTATATGCGATTTGAATGTATACCATTATAGTTATTAGTAAACATTATTTCTATTATACTATACTTTATTTGCTGTGATTTTTTCATAAATGTCATCATAAACGTATAACTCTTATCCTCAATTTTTTCAAAGCCCAAACGTGAACCCACGAACTATCCTTAATCCCTGTTGTATTATAATTTCTAACACAATTTTATTATCAAAAGTTTGTCATATTGCTGATTCTTTTCTTCTACATGATATTGAGAATTGTTATTATTGTGTTCAAAATGAGAAGTTATTTTGTAGATTAAGTTAGTTGAGTTGATCGTGGAGAATAAATTGAATCTATCATATTCATGGGTATATTTGCTTCTCAAAGTTGTATTGGTTTTACTAGTTGCAACTCCAAGTGTCGAGAGAGATTTTTCAACTTTGGATTACATCAAGAATAAGGTTCGGAATTGAATAAGCGATCAATTCGCGAATGATTTTCCAGTATGATATATTGAAAATGATTTTATGAGCAATATAGACAGTGAGTAACACGCCGTAAACTTTTTGTCAAGAAATGAAAAACCGTACCATACTGGCGGTTCAACCTAAAAAATCTCCTTCTGGAGGCTAAACTCGTAGGCGGTATTTAGCACTATGAAAAGATTTCATCATAAAATATCCTACTGGTTACTTTTCCGGTACAACCTCCGGTACGTTTTTAGAATCCTTGCTTTTTGTTGTAACTTGTACTAGTCAGATATTTTCTTATTTAAGTAAGTTTAATAAACTTCAAATATTAATTTAATTTAATTTTTGAAAGGGACACCCCTATACAAAATTTCTAGGTCCAGCACTGCCTATAGGGCCATTGATTCTTGTCACGAATTGCTGAACTTCTAAGCATACTTCGGTGCTTCCATAATTCTTCAAGGCAGGCAATAGGGTTAGTCTTAATTCTAATTTCGTTAACAACCATTAACACACAACTATGCACATGCAAAGCCTTGGGTATGTTATTGGATATGTTATTCGAAAGAGTAGGTTAAATTTTTTATCATGAATGTGCCCCGCCCCTCACTTAGAAAGCGCAACCGTCCTACCACCAGAATGTGATAATCGTGATAAGCTTGATAAGTACTAGGAGCCTGATAAGCTTGATAACTTGATAAATACTTCCTCAAACATGGGAAGAAAGGTGGTCGTGTATGTAGCTAGCTAAGCAATGCTCTTACGTGTTCTTACTTATTCGTACTTATTAACTTCATAAGTCTTACGCTTGCTTATCTTGATCTCTCACTCATGATTAATTCTTCATATGTA